TTATGGCTTAGAGTTTGATTTATTGATCCAGCTCAGGAAAGGTCTTTTACCCATCCCTTTAGAGAGCAAACTCCTCTTTGGTAACTCCGTTGAGGAATACACTGGGATGGTTATAAAAGGAAGGCGGTTCTGGCCCCATTATCCACATTTATTCCTCTTATCGACTTGTCCATATTTACCTTATGGATACAATCCATGTGCCTCCTCAAGGCATTACCCTCTAAACCTGGCCCATCTATTTGTGCAGATTTCTATAAGTCCACCAGAACCTTGTACTCACTAAGGATCTCCTTCATGCATGTAGGCTGTAGCATATCTGACATGCTTTATTAAGATAATGTTAAAGTTATTCCATTTGACCTTAACTTTCTGAGAGGTACATAATGGGGCTGACTTACTAAAGGGCAGTGTGCACTTTGCAAAGTGCAGTTGCACTCTGCAAGAAAAGTTGCTCCAGAGCTTAGTAAATGAGCAGAAGCTCTGCGGACTTGCATTATCCAATCACATATGCAAAAACGCTGTTTTTTTTTTTTTTTTTTTTTTTTTTCCTTGCACTTGATTGGGTATTCTTTGCGAAGTGAAGCTGTACCTCATTTACTAAGCTCTGGAGCAACTGCACTTGTAGAGTGCAACTGCACTTTGCAAAGTGCAAGGTCTATTTTCCATTAGTAAATTAACCCCAATGAGTCTCCCTTGCTGTCCTCTTTCCTTCTGCTAACCATTTTTTATATATACTTGCTGCCTTCCAAGAGCAGCCTGATTCCTTGCAACCCTTTGTTTTTTCGACATCACGGGAGCGGTTTGTTCCCTTCCATTTTTAGGAGCACTTACAAGGTCCTTAGAGGACACTTTACCTTTTTAGGTATTCCTGTTCTGTCATCCATAAACAGATATAAAATGGTCCTACCATTACATGTTTTGCTGTAGCTATGACTCTGCCTAATCTCCTTTTAACCCTATTAATATATCCCCTACATAAGAGATTTTATCGCGTTTTTTGCAAATGCATCTGGAGGGGTAAAACCCGCATCTCCTTCCGTATCAGCTTTCTGGAAGAGCCATAGCAGTCTGGGGTGTTCTGTTATTAGACACCCAGTTACTGCTTAAATATTCAGATTTCAGGTGTCTCAGAGATCTGGTTCTCAGAGTCTTCTGAGTCTAGGTTTATGAATGTATACTTGCATCTCTCCCTACATCAAAACAAAGTTTAGTTCCTTACTCAAGTTTTTTTTTTTTTTTTTTTTTACCAGGAAAGGTACATTAGTAAGTCTTCACATCTATTTTTTTTATTTTTTTTTTTTGGAGCCCTAATAAAACCTGCCACCCACAGTCTTCTCAGACTTCTTTACTCTGCCTTGTGTCTGCATTTGTTTCTGGAATCATTTTCTGGGTCTGTGGCTCTATACTCACACCTCTCTCTTATCAAAACATTTTTAGCCTGTGTCCTATACTGTGCGATTAAGATAATGGAAATTTTGGCTTAACTGTATATTACATATTACATTACAGGACACAGGTCCCTCCCCTCTTTTTCTGTGATCTTTCTGACTGAACTGGAGCCTCATGGATTGGGTGGCGTTATGTGGATACACTATAGGGGGGGCATTCCCTGCAATGCTTTGCCAGTGTCCAGTCACCTGAAGGTTCCAGCATATCATCTGCTATCTAAGAATAAAGTTCTTGTGTCCTGTACTTCAAAATATGGAATTTGACATTAAGGCAAAATTCCCATGATTGTACTTAACGTAAAATCCATTTCTTGGAGGCCATTGGTTTAAGCCCTCTTTTTGTTTTTGTTCATACCTTTAGTACTGCTTTACCACAATACTGAGACAAGCGGGGTCAAAAGGGGGGAGAGAGATATACTGGGGGCTGGCTTATAATTATTCTATTTGCCAGTGTCCAGTTCACCTGTACATGGCAGTATAACTTGACAATATTTTAATTCCTGTGTCCCTCAATGGACTCAAATGGATTTTATGGTCAGTACAAAAATCCAATTTTTCTTAATGTGATGAACACCTTCAGCTTTATGGATTAAGCTTGTAATATACAGTATTATGGACATTGGAAATTCATCAGTATTGAAAACAGTGTTGTTGTGCCCAACGGTCTAGTTTGCCTTTTCATTAGGAAATTGAAATGGGAGGGACGTGTTTTGACATGTGCTTCTTTATTTTCCAGGTCTGGTCGCTGTAGACCTGGAATCTGTTTCCGCCTGTTCAGCAAGCTCCGTTTTCAAAATATGTTGGAGTTTCAGACACCAGAATTATTGCGAATGCCTCTTCATGTAAGGACTATTTTGCCTATATTAGTTTGTAAAAAGATAAATAGAATGTATGTAGTATTTAGATACTTTTAATTTGATATGATGTTTTGTTTACAGGAGCTTTGTTTGCATACAAAGTTATTGGCCCCTATTAATTGTCCAATTGCGGATTTTCTAATGAAGGCCCCAGAGCCACCACCAGCCTTAATTGTACGAAATGCTGTTCAAACACTAAAGGTAAGCATTGTAAATTCTATTTTAAGATGTTTCTTGTGGACATAACTGATTTAAAATCATTTTCCTCTATACACTACTATGCCTGTTTGTGACCCTATGCATGCATGACAGAGGCATTACCGTTCTGTCATACCATCTGGTTTTTAATAGAGCTGGAAGCTACTGCAGATGCACCAGTATCAGTATGGCAGTATATGAAAATCATTCCATTTTATGATCCTGCTACAAGTAGAGCCCTGGTTTCTTTTATCTCTTAGGCTGCATTCACACTTGAGTGATTTGTAGCTTGAAGCTCGAAGCTCCAAAAACACTTAAATGTAAAAAAAAAAATTGTTTTCTATGGTGCCTGTTCACACCTGATCACACGAACAGACATCATAGAGAACAATTGATTTTTTTAAGTTTGAGTGTTTTTGGAGCTTCAAGCTACAAATCGCTCAATTGTGAATCCAGCCTTAAGGGCTTCAGGATTGAGATATCGCTGACATAGTTTAATTTACCTTGGAGTGCTGTACGTGCTGGTGTGGATGTGCCCTTAAACTTTTTCACAACCTTTGCTTTCCACAGTCCCCAACACCTGAAGAGTTTTTGTTTAATAATATGAGGGAGATGGTGCCATTAATTGTACATTGCATAGGACAGTGGTCGGCAAGCCGCGGCTCGCGAGCCACATGCGGCTCTTTACAAGCTTAAATGCGGCTCTTCTGTGTGCCGGGCGCCCGCTCCCCTCCCTCCTCTCCCTCCTCTCGGACGGGCGTGTGCAGGGCGGCCGCCCCCTCACCTCCCCTCCCCTCCCTCCTCTCGGACGGCCGCCCGCTCCCCTCCCTCCTCTCGGGCGGCCGCCCTAAAAGTCAGGACTCTGCAGCTGTCAGGATGTAGGCGGGGCAGCCAGGATGTAGGCGGGGCAGCCAGGATGTAGGCGGGGCAGCGTGACGAACTCCTCTCCTCTCACAGTCCGTCCTGAAGACCAGAACGGCGCGGGAAGCACGGCGAGGAACGCGCGGAGCAAAGGTAAGTGAATTGACACAGGGGGGACTTACTATATGGGGGACTTACTATATGGGGGGACTTACTATATGGGGGATGAATTACTATATGGGGGGGGACTTACTATATGGGGGATGAATTACTATATGGGGGGGGACTTACTATATGGGGGGGGACTTACTATATGGGGGGGGACTTACTATATGGGGGGGGGACTTACTATATGGGGGGACTTACTATATGGGGGATGAATTACTATATGGGGGATGAATTACTATATGGGGGATGAATTACTATATGGGAGATGAATTACTATATGGGAGATGAATTACTATATGGGAGATGAATTACTATATGGGAGATGAATTACTATGGGGGGGA